CAGCTGCTCCGGGGCCTGGGGTCCCTGCTGCAGCCGGTTGAGGAGTCCACGCCGGAAGAGGCTCTGGCCTGCTTGTTTACTCTCTGCCTGTGAGCCAGGGACAGAGTGGTGAGGGGCAGGCTAGAGCCATCGCCACCCCACCATCCTCCACCTCTGTCCTGTTGGCAGGCCCACGCCTGCTCTGGAGGCACCTCCCTCTGCTCCATGGACTCTCCGAGGCCCCGACCTGAATGATGGCGTAGCACATGCGTCCTGCCTCCTTGCTGAACACACAGTCCTGCAGAGACTGGTCCACAATCACATTGGCCACCTTCTCCAAGTCCACAGCACCCGGATCTAGGCCAGACAGGAGGGGCATGTACAGCTGCTTCCTGAGCACACTTGCCTCCACCTCCTTGTGTGACTGGAGAAGTTTTCAACAGAGCATGCCCATCTACGCTTAACATGGAGACCAGAAAACCTACACAGGGGGACCATAACTACACATGGCAGCAGCTCTAGACTCCCCTCCTCCTCCCGGTTGCCCAATCCAAGAGAACAGAGAGGCTGATGTGCCTGGTAGATGCCAAAGCACAGCTGCTTGTTTCCTAAGACACCTTTACCCAGCACCGGGATGAGGAAGGAACACTGAACAACGTCGCCGTAATTTCCCGTCTTACATTACGCACGCAGATCCCGGACAAGGCCTCCCCCGCAGGCTGAGCCTGGCATGTGATGGGCAGTGCAGATTGTTAGCTGAGTCAAACTTCTCTCCTGAGTCTTACTACGGGAAGGGATCCGGCCAGGGCAGTTTCTGCATCTTCCCCATCAGGCTGGATCCCACTCTATCCTCGGCCCTACACAGGCAGCTCAGCAAGCTTAAGGAGAGCTGGCTGCAGGGATGCAGAAGCCAGCAGTTCCAATGTACGGGCGTGGAGGCCAGGAGCCGTGTCCTCTTTCATGGGTATCAAACTTGAAAGAGAAAGGCTGGACTGTCTTCTGAGACGCAACTGATTCATACTCTTAAATACTGGCCTGCGTGCAGTCTGTCTTCCAGTTCAAGATTAGTTGCTGACTTCTGTTCTCAGAAAGCCAAGGGAGAGGGCAGCTTCTCCAGATCCTAACCACTCAGTCAGGTGTCCCCACCCCCAGGTCTCTGCAGCCCTGACCCGGGCAGGAGGGGCTCCCTGCTCACCTTTGAGTGCAGTCTTCAGCAGCTGCTGGGTCTCTACGTCGAAAGACTGGATTTTATACTCCTCTCTACCAGGCTCCCCCATGACCAGCCAGCCCCAGCCTCTACTGGGCGGGAACTAGCGAGGGCACCTAGGGAGAAGAAAAGGCAAAGGCAGTGTGGCCTTAGTTGGGGAGGCAGGACCCGAGTTCCCAGCCCGCCAGACCCTGGTGGGGCTGGGCAGCGCCTGGGTCAGGCGCCCCAGTACTCTCGCTGTGTGGAGCAGGGTGCA